TTAAAAGAAATAAAGTTGCTCGTTGACAAAGAAGTCTTGACACAAGAAATGATCAAGAAATTGGGGGCAAATAAGGATGAAAATCCTGGGCCAATTACACACCCAACATTCAAGGAATGATGAGGCATGATAAATAAACAAGTGGAAGTTGTTATCTACCACTGTAGTACCTTTCTACATTCAGCATCTTGTTTGCACATGTTTTTTGTTCCTTTCTCTGTCTTGTTGTGATAAATAAATTTTTCTTGCTTTTATGGTTATGAGCAAGGAATTAAATTTTAATCTTGAAATTTTTTAGTATCAAGTAGATTAAATATTCTTTTTCAAGAATTATAGATCTTTGGCAAGTGATAAAATTATACCTTCTATCCAATGCCAATTACTTGACCCTTACTAAAATCAAATCTTAACCATACATTTATCTGAGACTTAGAAATAATGCCTCTATATGTTTTTGAGACACCAAATCCAGATGTTTACCTTCTCGGGTAAAGTTGATTAGTTTATAACATTCCACCATATACATGACTTCAAAAGTCACACATTTGTCCTTCCAATTACAAAACCATCATGAACCAAAAGACCTCAAAAGAACCAAACTTTCAATTATATGTGAATCTTCCTGTAAGAAGAGACGAGATGAGGCATCATGGACCAACTTATCGAAGATAATTTCGAGTAATTGGGGCATACTTGAAACAAGAAAAAAATGGATTGATTTGAATAATTATATCACACATTAATTACATTGTTTTTATGTAAATAAAGTTAATCTTGAATATTCATCCCCCTGGGGATACCTCTTTTTACAAAGGCTTCTGTGTATGAGATGACGAACGACATTGTTTCATGTATCCCTTCGTAAAAGGAGAAAAATATATCCCTTGTTGTCCCCATTTGAGCCTGAATGATTTTTCTTCTGATTCAACGTTAACCAAGGATCACCCTCCACATTGGGGGGCAAGAAGAAGGATATCTGCTCACAGGAATAAAGATTGTCAATCACGAAGGCAAATATTCATGAAATGAAAAAAGTTTTGAACTACAAAGTAGATCAAATACAAAGTGCTTAAAGATCAACCCATTCATGAATAACGAAAGAATTTCTGAAATGCAAGAAGAAAAGGAGGTGCTCAACACAATTGAAGTCCTATACTCATCAGAAAAAAAGGAAAGAAGAAAAAAGAAATTGAATCAAGATGGGTGACTCATTGAGCCTCAAGATACAATGTTGATCAAGTGCAATCAGTTCAAAGATTCATATTCAACAAGAAAAGCAAGAGAAATGCTAGAGATATAAGAAAATGGAAATAAACCCAAGAATTGGCAATCTAAAGGGATTCAGAAAAAGAAATGATGAAAGACAAGTAGCAAAGCAGATCCAAGTCAAGTAAGTCAAGATTGAAAGCATCAGAATGAATTGATCCTTGGTTCAATTACCCTTAAACACTTGTTTGGGACTTTTTATTCATTTCTTTCGTAACCATAAGCCCTGGCCTACGTTACGTACCTGAAAAGTCCATTCTAATCATACATGGATTTCTATGTGAAAGAGACTATCTCTAGATTTCATTTCGCATCTCGGGATTGATTTTTATTTGCAAAAATTAGTTTTTCAAATCTTTAATGTATGATATGAAAAATGATAAAAGGGGGGTTCAAGACGTAAAATTTCTAAATAACATCTTAAAACCAAAGGAGGATTCGAGTTGAAAACCTGAAAAAGGCGGCTCGAATATTGAATGGTGCCACAACGACATAAGAGACGATCTTAAGCTCTTGATGAAGCACCATACATCCCAAAGACATTCATGAGATTCTGGAATCAAGGAGTATTTATGAAATGAGCATAACAACCATTTTTTCAAGTTAATGAAAGTTCAAAGACACATATATGATGTAATAACCTGAGAGACCTTACCTTACCAGAATCAGCATACACCTTAAATCAGTCAATGATTTTGACACTTGCCATAGCACTATGATTTTTTATATAAAATTGTAGTTGATTTATTTGATATTCATTAAAATCATGTTTTATGATTTGATTCAATTGTGAACATGTAAGGAGCAATACTTTACAAAATTCTTTCATTCTTTGATTAAGAAAGGAGAAAAAACATTTTCAAACAGCACAATCTCAAATGAGGAAGGTCCTTTAAGCAAATTATTGCCTATTCTACCTCTATTGCAGAAAAAGAATAAGCAATGCCAGAATGATGAAGCATTCTTGAAAGCAAGTGGTCCAAGAAGCCAGAAAGTCTGGAGAATTGAAGTGCCATCAATCCATGTCTCCTAGAAGATCTTCCAATCACAGAGCCATAAGTCTCATTAGGTGTATTATGGGAATGAACAAATCCACCACCAGCACTCTAGTTATATCGAGATGCTGGCTCAAGTCTTGATACATCATTGCTACTTCTTCCATGTCGATCATTTTCTTTGTTAGGATTATATTCATTATGTCCTTCATAAGATTGCTAAACTTGGGAACAAACGCCGTAAAAGGTTGACATCTATAGCGGCGTTTTTGAACCAAACGCTGTAGAAGGTCAGATCTATAGCGGCGTTTTTTGAACAAACCCCACAAAAGGTCAGATCTATAGCAACGTTTTTGGAACAAACGACGCAAAAGATCAAGATCTATAATGCGTTTTGGAACAAACGCCGCAAAAGGTCAAATCTATAGCGGCGTTTTTGGATACAAACGCCGCTATTTACCTTTCTTTAGCTAAGATGATTTTGCATATTTCATTTCTGCTCTACATTACCTAAATTTAATATCATCTAGCTTTATCAAATTAACAACAACCATACATTTTAATAAAGACACGAGTTATGCAGAAAAATACTTAACAACAAAATAAATTAAAATTTATAAACATTAAAATTAAATGTAATGTAGTTTGACATTGTTCTCTAGAATTTAGTCTACTTTCTTTTACTTTCAATTAAAAAAATATTGTTCACTACAATTTAGTCTTTATTGCTCCTTCGTGGGGAAAGGAAGTAAAAATCCCCTAGCTCCGGTTCACCAAGAAGTCTCCTTGCGCGGACTTTTGCTTCAACCAAACGCAAACAAGGATTCTGGAAGATACAAAAATATAAGAAATACTAATAAGAATCAACAGGAAGCTTAATATAGAGAGAAAAAAGGAAACATTTGGCATATAATCAACCAGCAGAAATCCATAACTTTGAAGAGAATTTTAACTTTTCACATGATACAATAAATACTGATGAAACAAATATAGACAGCCCACCTAGACCATAGAACAGGCTTCATTAACAGATGACTATCGGCATTCAGCAAGTTATTTTACTAAGAAAAAATGTAAATACAAAAGGTATCATGTTAAAACCACAAAATGAGAGAACCTTAGGTTAAAAAGGAGAGTTTGAGTGTTCATTTTTTTATCGAGATCACAATTAGGTTAGCCTTCAAAGTAAAATACTAATAAAAGTAGAGTTACCTGAAGGCTTTGACAGCACTTCTCAGCTCAGGATCTTCCAGGATATTTCTTGCACTTAAAGGAATATCTGCATCAGACAGAAATTTGATAAGAAAAAAAATCGGCTAAATGCATTTGTTAACAAAAATACATCAAGTTAAACGGACATGCATGGAGCATTCATCAAAGACAGAGTAGGCGTAAATCCTTTTGATCATTTAAGTTTATTCTAAAGACAAAATATGGGTCATATCCAGAGAGATGCATAGGCAAGGTAAAACAAATGCAGAATCATCCATGAATATATTAATTACCAATCAAAAGCCGAAGTGGGATGCGAGGAAAATATTCTTGTCAGGAACAACTAACACTTACTGTGGTGCTTTAACACTGCCAAAGAGCTGAATCCACATTGAGAAAAATCAGGTACCCCTTTCATGCAAATCATCACAGTGTTTTCCTTGACGTCCTAGAATAACAGTTAATCACAATCATCAATACCATAGCTTATGCAATAAAGAAAATTTTATTTTCCTCAAGGAAGAGAAAATGCCTATAAACCTCAACAATGATGTCCCAACCAAATTTCAAATTCAAGAAAACAGGATCTATCCTTGTTCCATGCTACTAATAACAGAATAAATCAACAAAATGATCCTAAGCCAAATTCTCAACAATAACCCTAAATCCATTTAGGTTTAATGATATGAGACTACGAGTACTATAAAGTATAAACAAATGAACCCCGTTTAAGTTCTCTATTGCAAACCACAGTATTTTATAATGAAATGTTTCTTAGAGTAGAGAGCTTCAGAAAATTAGACACTAACTTCTTAGAGTAAAGATACTCGCAACCATTGCTCAAAGAAAAGAAATCAGAAACCTACTCAAGCTTTAACATTAAGCAATGCTGACAAAATACATCCTGCAAGTTTAACATGGTAGACCACATGTAAGATGGACATTAACCAGAACACATTCACAATTATATACTCTACCGCATATTCAGAATATGTTATAATCGGGTAAGTAACGTCAAAGGGACATTTAGCTTATCCAGGATATTAAAACTTAAAGTTCACAATTGCAAAATGTCTTAACCTTCATTGTTAACTTTCACAACTTAGTTTACCTGTAAATGGTAAAGTATTTTATGATTCAAATGAAGCTTCTCATCAATAACAAGATCAAGGTAAGCACGTATCTCTCGTAACCTTGCATCCAAACCCTTCAAAGCAGTGAGTTTTCCAGTGACCTGTAGAAAAGACCATGGTCTATGTACACTCTCTTTCTCATAGTTCAAAGAAAGCTTCAACACTAAGAGCTTTTATTATGAATGTAATTAGATTTGACAGTAAAATAAAACTAAGAAAGAAAGAAATAAACCTCATTTGCTAGTGTACTGATGGTTGTATCCTTTACATCCCTAAGCAAGTGTTCCACTCCTTTTTATGAGTGAAAAAGGAGTAATAAGCAACCAAATTAATGGTTAACTAATCCAAACTATTAGCATCTTAACCACAAGGATAATATCTTGAAAAGATAACACTAAATTTCATCAAATGGCATACGAATCTCCTCAACTTCGTGAGCAGCAATTTCAGAAGGAACATGAACAAAAAACTTTTGGCTCTTTTGAGTGCCATTCTGCAACAATACTGGCATATTAGTTAAATTGCTCCCCCAGTACGACCAAAGGTGGCAGCTTCTTTAAAAAAGTATCGTTAGTTGTAGTTATTCTCAACATCCAAAGGGGTGCATGCTTGCCTCAACAGGTAAGCCCCTTGGTTCCACAAGATAAAAAGAAAAAGATGCACTCAGATTGTTCGTACCTCCTTAAACTCCTCAACATCATAGTACGCCTTAGTGGGTATCCCCAACTCCTTAGGTTGGACATCAATAATCACCATGATAGGATTTGGGACATAGCTGAACACCAGAAGAACTTGATTAATCGAATGAAGTAAAAAATAAAATAAAATAAAGAACAGAATAATAAGCAAAAACTAATAGTCGTACTTGTGGAATAATCTGTGAATGTCTAGATCATTCTCCCGTAATTTTGGGCCTGTACTATACCAACCAACAACATGCTCCTTCGCTGCAACAAATATCAGAGGTTCACATATCATGTAATGAAGGATGACACTTCCCCCTCCCCTTCCCAGACAAAACAAGAAAGGAGAGAAATAAAAAATTAAAATTGGCACTATTATTTACTCTGAGTTGAAAAAAGAGTTACCATTAATCCTCTTAAACATCGAAAACATTGATTCATGGTAGTTGTGGTCAAGGAACCATATGCTCGAGTCCTTCTCATCTTCCTCAAAAGGCACTGATAACAATAATAATAATGGTGAAAAGGCCTTAATACAAGCTCAATCTTAAGAAACTAAAGCATCAATGCATGAGGTTGGCCAGAGAGCTTAATCAAATGCTTCTCTAATGAAAGCACCTTCAATTACATACATTTCCACATCTGTTTAAAAAAAGAAACTATAAATGGAAATTTAGGTCAAGGAATCTAACAAATTGCCTTCAATTCAAATTAAACATTTTAAAGGTAAAAACCCCAAACTCGCAAGGTATGAATATAATATTTCAACAACAACAAAATAACGGCATTATGTAATCAGAAATCAAAACAAATCAGATCTAGAACGAAATTCAAAGGAACAAACATAAAGAAAAGAAGGGGGAAGAACCAGCGTAGCTGTTGGTGACGTCAACGGTGCCTTTGAAGGAGGTGCCAAGAAGGACTCCGACGACGCGCTTGCGGGTGTCTTTAGCGACGCGCTTGCGGGTGTCTTTAGCGTCGCGATTGTAGTTGTCGACGATGCTTAGAAGAACCAAAGGATGAACTATCACCTTCTCGATTGGTCGAGATGATATTTGCTGGGTTTTGATCACATCCATTTCTATTTACCCTTTTTTTCTTCTTTGTTTTTCCTCTTTGATTTATCTCTGCGAAAGTGTAAGCTTTTTCTGCTTGATTTGCTTTGGCTTCTTCGCCTCTCTTTCTAGTCTCTACTATGAGTATTTCTTGCCACACAGGAAACTCCCAAGTAATTTCAACCAAAATTATTCTAAAATCAGTGAACAAAATTTTAGACCAATCTCGTAATTATTTTATCTTACAAGCCAGAAAATTCTTAAAAAAAAGAGTAAAGAAACAGAATAGATAAATTGCGGCGTTTGTATAAAAAAAACCCACAAAAATATGAGTCTTTAGCGGCGTATGTTGTGGCGTTTATTTAAAAGTGCCACTATAGGTAAATACTATTGCGGCGTTTGTTTAAAAATGCCGCTAAAATTCTAATATGTTAAGGCATTTATTGAAAAACGCCACTATAAGTGAATCCTATTGCGGCGTTTGTATAAAAACACAAACGCCGCTAAAGTATTAATTTTTTGCGGCGTTTGTAAAAAAAAGCCATTATAGATGAACCCTATTACGGCATTTGTAAAGAAACGCCGCTAAACTATACATTTTGTGGCATTTTTAATGTAAACGCCGCTATATGTTTAAAGTTAGTGGCGTTTACTCTCAAAACGCCGCTAAAACACCGCTAAAAATACTGCTATATTATTTGGAATCATAGTTTGGATCGCATGGAAACAAAGAAACATTAGTATTTTCAATCCAGATTACATAGAGAGGGAACCAATTATGGATAAAAGTAGAAGATAGTGGCAGAAACAGAAAGAGCTGAAGCTACAGCTAAAACTCTGCGCACCAACGCTGGTTACATTCATCGCCAAGAAGCAAAGTGGGTGCCTCCCCCGACAGGATGGGTAAAAATTAATAATGATTGTGCGAGTAATAGAAGCAATGGTGAGGTAGCATGTGGGGGACTGATTAGGAACGATAGAAGCCAGTGGATGCTGGGGTTCCACAAGTTCATAGGAGTTTGCTCGCCGCTAAAGGACGAACTATGGGGAGCACTCGAAGGGCAGAAGATTGCTTGGGATATAGGAGTAAGGAAGATTATCCTGGAGGATGATAACAAAGAAGTATGAAGAAACCTGAATGGAACATCAACAGCAACAATGGAACTAACAATAATGCATCACATTAATAGGATGTTAAAGAGAGATTGGGAAGAGAAGACGGTGCATGTGCACACAGAAAGTAACCGAGCGGCGGATAGGTTGACAAAACTAGTGCAAAGAGGCGAAACTAGATGTTAAATGTTGAACTCACCTCCAACAGAAATAATTGAGATTTTAAGGATTGAAGAATGTGAATATTAGTATATTAGTTTAGTTTCTTATTTTACCAAAAAAATATAGAGGATATATAATACCCGTATCAAAAGTGATATAAATGTATACCACACATTTTGATTAAAATTCAAAACTAAAGAAATGGACAAGAATTTTGAATGTTAAGTTTACATTAAATTCATGGTCCATCTTTTTTTTTTCATTATAATCTTTAGTAACAAATTTAAAAATTCACATTAATTAAATTTTTGGGTAAACCATACGGATGGTCCCTTATATTTTCGATACATTCAATTTAAAAATTCTTTATACATTTTAATAGATCCAGGATGAATAGAGATCAATCTACCACAAGCTTTACTAAAAATATTCATTCTTAACTCAAAATTATCATATACATAGATTCGTTTACGAAAAATGAAAGAGTACATCCTAATTATCAAAGAAATCTGAATTAAAATCATTATCAATCCAATTGCATATGTTCTGAAAATCAATATTAATAGGTTGAAATCTCTTAATCCTCGAAAAGAAAAGGAAAGGACTAGAAGTTTTGGTCAGCAAATTTCTATTCTTTCGGAAGCTAAAATGAGCGTTCTTAGCTCTTAATACACCAAAATGAGAGAATAAATAGGTGTTCAATATCAAATAATTGAGAGTTATCTGAAAAAATACCGACTTATATTTATCTCTGATTAATAAAAAACAAGGGTCGATAAATTAAACGGGTTGTATAAAATGAAACGATCCGGATAAAAATGAAATATCACACTTATATATATTATTGAGTAATAATAAATTAACTGAAAGAAGACAACTCCGATACAATTACCACAGCTACAAACCACGGGCGACGTACACTGGACAAAGAATTTTACAGATTTATTGACAAATAAAAGAAAACACAAACATGATGCAATCCTTACCTACATTCAGTGTCTGCAAGAGCAGTTTGAGTGAGATGATTGATGTCTGGGCCATCACATCACATGGAGGAAGCATTTGGACATGGAGGAATACATATATCAGTAATCCCTTCCAGCATCATAACTAAAGTCTTTATTGAAGGACGAAGAGCTGGTTCATCTTGAATGCACCAGAGTGCCACCATCACCATTCTTTCCAAGCTTTCCTTGTCCACTTGTTCATCACCCACAAGCTTATCCACCTCTCTTTCAACCAAACATCTATACACCAGACTCGACAGAATGATCTCCTCTGGTTTTGACACATTGGTGTCCAAGTTTCGTCGGCAAAACACCGTTTCCAGTAGCACAATTCCGAAACTGTAAATGTCGGCCTTCACCGAGATCGGAGTGTTTCTATTCCATTCTGGTGCCATGTACCCTCTAGTTCCCCTCACTACTGTGAATGTCCTTGTATGATCTCCCATCAACAATTTTGCCAGCCCGAAGTCTGAAATTTTAGCTCTCCATGAATCATCCATCAATATGTTTTGCGGCTTTATATCACAGTGAATGATTGGTGTCTCACATTCCTCATGTAAGTAGAGGAGTCCTCTAGCAACATCTAGGGCTACTCTCCTTCTTTCATTCCAAGATGGGCGCCTTGTTGACTTGAAAAGTAGGTCTGCAAGGGATCCATTGCCCATGTACTCATACACCAAAAGCCTCTTGGAATCCTCGACACAGTATCCCAATAGTCGAACTAAATTTCTGTGGTGAGCTCTACCGATTGCTCGTGTTTCTGCTTGGAACTCTTTTTCACCTTCTTCCACTAACTTCTCCAGTCTCTTCACGGCGATCGGCTTTCTTCCTCGGTCTAGAGTTCCTTTGTAGACTGCTCCAAACGACCCCTTACCCAACTCTTGTTTAAATCCATTTGTGGCTCTCTTGAGTTCCTTGTATGAAAACGACGTCAACATAAGCTCTCTGGTTAGGCCCAAATCTCCCATTTCCAGCAGCCTTTTGTATCTTAGAACTCGAAATTTATAGATGAATACACCAGAGGTTGTAAGCAAAGCACATGAACATGCAACGAGAATGGAAGATAAAACAAGAATCTGCACGACCGAAATTTCCGGTTTGATTAGGAACTGCGGTGGCTTTAAACCAGGGGAAGCAGTGTCGTTATGTGCTTCAAGGCTTATGATTCCCACCTTCAATAAAACAGCGAGATTCTTTTTAAGATTGATATCTCGTAGCAAATACCTGAGTGGAAGCTTTTGTTTCTTGCAAACTCCGTTATCGAACTGCGCTGCCTCGCAATTGCAGTCTTCCAGACATATTCGGATGCAGGCATCCTTGCTCAATCGCTCTTTACTGTAAAATGTACCCGTAGTCCATTCTATACCTTGCATTGAGATGATGTTATAAAGGGGTATATTGGCCTTCCCTCCTTTGCAGTGTGCTTCCGAATAATTTCTCTTGCAGCCGATGGTGTTCTGATTAGGATCGATAAAATCAGTCCCGGGAAGGCATGCACAGTTAGGCCGGTTATCATTGAAGGTGCAATAGCTGTTGAAACCGCAAAAGCCTTTAATTTTACAGGAAGTTTCCAACGCACGCAACATTGCGTAAGTTTGGAATCCACCATTTGGCTCAAACACATGAGCATATAACCGGAAATTTCCATCAAAATCAAGGCTTGCACTGTAAACAATACTCTTGCTGTTGTTGCTTCTTCTCTCGGTGAAGTCGCTATAGCTCTCCTCTTGATGAAATGAATAAATTGTTTTGTAGACGGACGAATCAGTGTTGTTGATGAGTTGTAGGATGCCTGTCGAGTTAAGGCGAAGCGACAAATTCGCCACATTCCTCACATTACTATTTGTGCTCCAATAGGCAGTTGTAGGAGAGTCTTCGGATTCTAGAGGGTATAGAACAAGATTCCCATCGTTTTGCATACATAGATGATACCTTCCAGCTGAGGGATCATTTTCTGATAAACTGGAGATCAACTGGCTATTATTTAACAGACTCTGACCACCTAAAATGGCATCTGTAGGATGCTGGAAACTCTCCCAAATGATATGATTATCTTTGTTGTAGATAACGAAATTGCCTGAATCTAGCATGGAGGCAGAGTAGGCATCCGAGTGGTTTCCATTAGCAATAAACATCTCTCCGCTCTCAGCCGTCGAAACAATCACTCCTTTCTCATTTAACTTCAGAGTAGCATCTGAAGTGAAGGGCGGATCATCACGGTTTGCTGTCCATGTAACTTTGTTAGCGTTCTTTCCATTGCCGTCCAACCAAACTCCAACATAAAGGCCATTGCCTCGATTGTAAAAACCGAACGCAAAGCGACGAGAAGGCGAAGTCCATGAGGTTGTTTGAGTGGCCGAGGAAAGAGAAGCTCCCAACGGGATGATGCAGCTTGACTGCTGCACACACAGAGAAGAAAGGAGCAAAAGAAGAGCCGACACCAAGGCCATGGGAAATAATTTGTCTCTTCTAATTTGGAACTGGTACAAATAGATGGCTGAGGTCTCGAATAAGAGTTTTGTATGGAAAAAGATTGGAAACAGCACTGAGTTTACTGTATATTAAGTCTTTTTTACTCTTTCCAACTAATTCGTAGGACCAACAAACGTGGAAATATTTACCTGCTAGCTCTTGCGCACCGCACACTCAATTATTTCAGGTCTACTCACACAATTATTGAACTAATTATTTATTGCCTAAAAATAATTTAATTATTTACATAAATATTGTAAAAGTATAACAATTTAAATAGTGTAAACTATATAGGGTAAACTATATAGGGTAAACTATACCATTGACTATCTAACTATTGTCTCTTTTCATTTTCACCACCATTTTTTATTTTTTAAAAATATATTTTATTTTTTATTTTAACTTATTAAATATATATTATTCTTATCTTAACTAAAAAAATATGTTTTATTTTTATCTTAACTAAAAAATATATTTTAATCTTATATTAACTTAAAAATATATATTTTATTTTTATCTTAACTTATTACATATATTATATTATTAATTTAAATTATTAAATATATTCTATTCTTACCTTAAATTATTAAGTATTATTTATTATTATTTTAACTTAAAACGTATATTTTATTCTTATTTTAATTTAAAAATATATTTTATTTTTATCTTAATTAAAAAAGATATATTTCATTTTTATCTTAATTTTAAAATATTATAAGAATAAAAAAATAAATATTTAAGTAGTATCTTTCCACTTATAATTTTTTTTCTATAAGCTTACTTAAGTTTATAGTTTGAGCGTGATATTTGTTTAAATATACATTTTATAACACCCTCAATCCAATTTAAATAAAAATGTCACGAAATTCAGACGAAACCAAACAAGAAGTAGAATCATGAATATCAATCATTTTATCCTTAATTCTCATTCAATTTCTCTTACTAACAAATTATTAAGCATTCTTAGCTTAAAATCATGTCTGGGACTAAATTGAATTATTTAAAAAGTTCATTGACTTATTTGTAATTAACACAACTTGAATATTTCCATTCATCATATGATATTAGGACTCGTTCAAGGAATGATGAAATTTTTTGCACGTAACCAAATAGATGGGTGAGGTCTCCAATGACTTTTCTATGGAAAAAGATTGGCAACAGCTCTGGGTTGACCGACCGTATATTAAGTCTGTTCTCCTCTTTCCATTTAATTTATAGGACCAACAAATATGTGGAAGTGTTTAGCGCTTCGTTGCCAGAGAACAGCTTTGCTATTGCTAGCTCTTCCACCGCACAATTACTAACATAAAATTATTTATAGCATAAAATAATTTTATCATTAGCATAAATATTATAAAAGTATAACAATTTAAATAGTGTAATCTTAATAAAAGTTAAAAAAAATAGTGTAATTTCTTTTCTTTTTGGTAAAATAAAAGTTTAGGTAAGGTGGCTCCCCAGTCCACGGGCATGACATATTTAAAACTCAATTGGGATTTATATAAAAATTTACAGATTGCCCACCACCTTGCCTCACAAGCTCAAATTACTGAATTCCAACCACTAGTACCAATATTCATTGGCAGTGTAATTTCTATATTATTATATATATTTCATGAAAGACATTATATTATTGTTTTCTCTTTTGTAACTATTATAAATTTAATTTACTATAATTTATCTCTTAGTTTACATTATATTCTTCAACTATATTAAATAAAATAACTCATTGAGTGATATCAGTAGTAGAAGGGAGTGTTATTTTCGTTAAAAGAGTCATGTTCAAGCAGTTGCGTCGATAGGGTGTATAAATGTTATCATTGGCTAACAAAATTTTTGAACATATATTATTTTATAATCACCCAAACGATTAGAAAAACCATCACACATTACATGAAAATCATAATTAAGACAAGTACTAAACCAAATAACAACATTAGCTAAGTAGTAACATGGGAAGTGATGGAGATGGAGGGATGGGTACATTCATTGTTCCTTCCAGCATCAAGGTCACACTCTTCATCAGTGGACGCAAAGTTGGATCATCTTGAATGCACCACAGCCCCACCTTCACAAACCTTTCCACCATTCTCATGTCCACCTCTTCTTCACCTTCCACAAGCTTGTTCAACTCTCCCCCAACAAAGCAATTGTATACCCATGTTGAAAGCAGTATCTCGTCTGCACTACAAACTTGTACTTCTATGTTGCTTCTGCAACATATGATCTCCAATAGTATTACTCCAAAACTGTATATATCAACTTTTTCCGATACCGATGCACTGCTTTGTCGTTCGGGTGCTGAGTACCATTCTGTCCCATTGGTCCCAGTGGTACTTCTTGCATGATTAGGCCTCAATAGCTTTGCCAATCCGAAATCCGAGATCTTTGCAGTCAATGAATCATACAATAGTATGTTGTGGGGCTTGAGGTTGCAATGGATGATGCACGCCTCACACTCTTCATGTAAATAAAGAATACCTTTAGCCACGTCCAATGCAATTCTGGCTCTCTCTTTCCAAACTGGGCGTCCATTCATGTTGAATAGAAAGTCTGCCAGTGAGCCATTGCTCAAGTATTCATAAACAGGAGCTTCCTTGAATCCTCCACACAAAAACCGAGCAATCGAACCAAGTTCCTGTGGTTAGTTCTTCCGATGACAATCATCTCAGTTCGAATACGATCCGTTTCTCCTTCGTTAACTTTCGGCAATCTCTTGACCACAATACTTTTACCATCCCCTGGCAAAATTCCTTTATAAACTGCTCCGAACGAGCCTCTACCTAACTCATCATCGAAGCCATGTGCTAGCTCATTGAAAGTGAATGATCGTAGTGTAAACTGCTCGGTTAAAACTCGACTTGTATTTTCTGAAAGCTTCTCGTAACTTTTGACTATATGCCTGTATAGCAAGAAGCTGCACAACGCCATCACGAAAGCAAGCTTGCAACGGAACCCAGACTTAATCCCACGGTTAAAATCAGGCTTCGGTTTGATTCGTTTATCAATGTTGGCCTGATTTCAGATGAGGAACCGACAATCACCTTGATGAAGGCTGTGGTGTTTATATTTTCATGTCTTTTACCATATTTGAGCGGTAGTCTAAACATGTTGCAGTCTGGGATAGAATAGAGAACCCCACCACAGGAGCATTCCTCCTCGCAAGCTTTCTTACACTCTTCCTTGTCCAAATTATGCTTCACAGAATAAGGATCACCAGCCCACTCCATATTCTCCAGCGTAGTGATGTACTGTATCAATAGATCTTTCCTTGACTCGCACCCATCCACGGTAAAATTCTGAGAGCAGCTCGGGATTTTGGTGTTCTCTAAGGTGAAACCAGGATAGCAATAGCACCCGAAATAGTCACCCTTACTGGAGCAGTAGCTGTTCAACCCACAGTGACCATTAACATCACATGCATCATCCACATTCTGCCAAATGTTTGTGATGGTATTTTTTTCAAGTTGATGGGAGTACAGTCTGAAAATTCCGTTAGGATCAAGGCTTGCTCTATAGATGATCATCGTTTGGTTCCCAGTTGTAGAGCCATTCGCCACAAGCCTTTCTCCGTAGTGATCTGATTCTGAAGACATTGTTAGAACGCCTCTCGTGTTGAGATTTAACACAGCGAAAGGATAGCCATTAGTACGAGTAGACCAGTATGCGTCATTAGTATCAAGTTCGGCAGAATTATTTACATAGGCTACAAGGTTACCATCAGTCTGCATGCTCAGCAAAAACTGGCCACCGGCGTGGTTTGATCTTGACACACTGGAAATCACCTGGTTATGATCTCTTCTTAAATTCTGGCGACCGGCGTAGTTTGATCTTGACACACCGGAAATCAACCGGTTATGATCTCTTCTTAAATTCTGGTCACGGGCGTAGTTTGATCTTGACACTCTGGAAATCAACTGGTCACTTCTTAAATTCTGGCCTCCTAAGATTGTGTCGGTCGGGAAATCAAAGCTCTCCCAAACAACAGACCTGTTCTGGTAGAGCACGAAATTCCCCATGTCCAGCATACAAGCTGAATCAACAGACCCCGAGCTAGAAGTGTTCGCAATTATTTTCTGTGCACCGTTCTCAGTCCTCAAAAGCAACGTGCCTTCTGCTGTGAACTGCAAAGTAGAACTTGCGGAGACCGGCGGATCATCCCGATTTGCATTCCAGACAGTGGTGTTTTCCGGGCGGCCGAGAAGCCAAATTCCTGCAGCATATCCACTGTCTTGCCGATAGAAACCAAATTCAAAGTGGCCTGAAGGTGAGGGCCATGATCTCGGGTGTTTTCCGGCATATAGAATAGAACCTGGTAGGATAATATTGGGCTCGTTTTCTTGAGCTATGACATTAACATGTAAAGAAACCACAACGAAAAGCAAGAGAATGAGTGACAGTATATGAGTCATATTTGGGGATGATAAAAAAAATCTGAATCCGACGGGGAAAATCGAATTAAACGAGGACGGAAAAAAATCGTTTATGTTAAACGAGGACGGGAAAAAATCGTTTAAGCTAAACGGGGACGGATTTGGTAATCCCCGCCCCGATTACCCGGCCGATACCCGGCCTGATAAATATTAAAAATAATTATTTTATATATATATATATATATATATATAATATTAATAAATTTAATTTAAATTAAAAAATATATATAATATTTATATATTTAATTTAAATATATATATATATATATATATATATCCGGCCCGATACCCGTTTAAATAACCGTTTATACTAAACGGGGATATCCTTTTCCCCGCGGTTTTCCCCGATTACCCGATGGGATCTCTGTTTAAATCCTCACAATTTTTTAAGCGGGAACGAGTACGAGTTTTTTAAACGAGGACGGATACGAGTTTTTTAAACGGTGACGGGAGACCAATACCCAGCCTGAACTCGGCCTGTTGCCATCCCTAACCATATTTCGGATGGAGATGAGAAAGAAGCCCTCTTTGCTTTGCAAAATATTTTCACCTTGATTTTTCGCAACCAAAGTTGAAGAAGTTACGAGTTTCACAAAGGAATGATATTTAGATAATTTAGTGGAAATTTAGGCGATGTTCATAAAATCTAGACTTAAAAAATGTTAGCGTAAAGTACATAAATGGTCACCGACTATAAAATATTATTTTGTTGAGTCACCTGACTATTAAAAATTATAAAGTAGTCCTCCAATTGTAAGACGTTTTATTGAATATCTCGACTATTAAAAGTTATAAAATGATCGTCTGGCTATTCATATGTTCCAAAATAATCTTTTTTGTTAAAAAAATGACATCCACCGACTATTAAAAGTTATAAAATGATCATCTGACTATTAATATGTAATTTATTTTGGTACAAAAAAGTTTAGGTCAATGGTAGCTCATCCAGTCCAGGGTCAGGGCATACCTATGACCCATTTAGGATTTACATAAGAATTTACAGATTGCACACCAAGAGTGACGATGGTATAATTCTAACTTTACTTTACAAACTCAAATCAACAAAGATATGTAGCATGGGAGAATCAAACTCAGGACCTCTAGGGTGATGGAGCATTCATATGTAATATTAAATGACATGTAAATTAATTCTTATTTGGCACAATATTATTAGTTAAGAATCATTGCTGGGAAGAATCCATCTAATAATTTTTCGGGATTAAGAGATTCAACGATATAGCTGTAAGGAAAAAATGCAAACTTTTTTAATGGGGTGATGGAAACTTAGTGGTGTTTGATTTATAATTAGAGTAATTAACGCCAATATGATGGTAAACTCATAATAAAATTTCCATAGTTAATGCTTATTTTGCAGGAAAAGAAAAACATAGTTACGTAGAAGGACTTTTGGAGTCCACTCATTAAATTCTCCACTAGGGATGGCAAACGGGTACAGTTTCGTGGATTCCGCACCGCATCCGCTCCAATTGGAGCGGGGATGGGTATAATTTTAGCGGGTAGTGAACGGGTGTGGATTTATAAAGTAGTACCTGTCATGGGTGGTGGGCGGGTAATGGGTTTGAGACATTACCCGCCCCCGCATTCGCCCGCCCCACATCCGCCCGCCCAGCTAAATATCTATTAAATTTTGGACTATTATAAATTTAGGTGTAATTTTAGAGACTAATTTATAAATTTTAATATTATATAATATATAACATATAATTTAACCAAATATTAAAGATATTTAGTCTTTAATCTAGTCTTTAATTAGGGAAATATTTGACTCTTTGATTAAACCCATAATCCCACTAACCACGTCACTTTCCATGTTCTTTAGCCCATGCTGCCCATCCAAACACAAATTAGCCGTACTATAAGCATTAACATCAAAAGCAGCAGTTTCCATATTCTTTAGCCCCTCAAGTCCCATATTATGCGCACTATGAGCATTAACATCGAAAGCAACACAACAATCCAGCTCTGCGACTACATGCTCCCTATAATCTGTCTTCATAACATTCGTAGAGCCACTCCTCTGACAAATTGAAGCATGCGCTGCTACCCCATCACGAACTGTCTGGGAACCAACTCTAACATCCCATTAGTTTGCTGTCAGGTGGGTCTAGATGGGTATGTCGCTAGTGGGTAGTGGGTGTGGGGATGGATTTGAAAATGTACCCGCGTGGGCGGGTGTGGATTTGAAAATTTGTACCCATCATGGGTGGTGGGCGGGTGGTGGATTGAAAAATATTATGTGGGTATGGGGATGGGGGAGGGGGTATCTGCACCCGACCCGCCCCTTTGCCATCCCTACTCTCCACCCTGTGGCCAAATGTGCATGAGGACAGCACTCACCGTAATTAAAGGAACGTCACAGCCTCATATTATTTTTTGGCTTAATATAATAATAAATATACAAATTATATCATTTTCTTTAAAGTGGTATCTAAATTATTTTCGGTCAATCTAAGTGTCTAAAATTACAAATGTTACCATTTTAGGTGTTTCGACTGCAACAGCCGTTAAATATCTTGTTAAATAACACACTTCATATTTTTATAATTATAAAAAATATATAATTTTCCTGAAATTATAAAAAAAATCCAAATACATAAAAATCCCTAAAATCTTAAAACTCTAACCCTAGTTTCTACCTTGCCAGCCATGGTTGAAAAATCAGTATTCCGAAAGCAATCTCACAACTTCATATTTTAATGCTTTAATTAGATAGAATATAAGTCCAAACGAATGAAATATCTACGTCGACTTTAATTGACAGATCAATATCCCGAAAGGAACGTCAAAATTTTATATTTTAATATTTTAATTAAAATACAAGTTCATATTGTCGTACCTTAATTTAGGGGTAAAAATTTATTAATTTTTAAAGTATCGTATTAAGGTAGTAACAAGGGGAAATTGGGGACCATAATGCAAGATTTCAGAATGTTTAGGCTTTTTAGGAAGTTACAAGAAAATCCAGGGAGTTGAACCCGAATTTACTTATTTATTACATTGAAAAATTTAACCCCTCCCCCGAGCAATATGATTTTCCCCAAATTAAACCCTAAATCCCTAAACTCCAAATTCATCATCTCCGCCGGCCACATTTAACACCTCAACCCGTCATCGTCCGAACATCGTTCGTCACTCTGACACCACCAATAGACTCACTGTCGAATGGTGAACAAAACGATCCTTATCTCGTCGTGAAATGGCGTCGTTCGCCGTAAAACTCCACGTGAAGCTTCGTCGTTTTAACCCGACCGCCGCATGTTTTCCGTCGATTTCGATTGATCAGCCCGTCCGTTCACCTCACCGCCTGCACCATTGGACGTCATCGTCACTCACCGGCCACTGTTGGAGAAGTTGTACGTTTTAAAATTTTGCGATCCGTTATGTTTCATTGAAAAATAACACTTCACATGACTCCCAAGCCAGAAATCTAGAATTCTGGAAATTTTTGTCGCCGTCAGACGACTGCACGCGCCTCTCCCTGCACGTGGACGTCGTCTGCCAGCCTGGGAGTCTGCTAAAATGCTGAACCAATCTGGACCGGTCTAGATGAAGCTGCCTAAGCCGAGCTGCCTGGGTGAGCCGTTGACTGAGTCATTGACCGTTGACTAGGCGTTAGCCGTTGACTTTTTCTGTGTATAGTTATTCTAATGTTTTTCGACGTCCTGAGTTTGTTTTTAGGTCCGTTTCACCAAATTCAAACTCGGTAAGCTATTTTTCAGTGATTAACCACCCAATTCGATCCGTTTTTCGCAATTAAGCTCCATTTCTGATGAAATTTATGTTGTTGTGTTCTGAGGAATTATTGGACGTTGAATTCAAGTTGAGGGCGATCAAATGGAGTTTAAATGGTCAATCGGTTTGGCACAGAAACTGAAGTAATACATTACTACCTTATGCATGCTTTATGGAACATGTTGGAATTGGTAAATATATGGATGAAAATGTTTGCTCTCATATGTATAGTAAATTATTTCTAAACTTGATCTGAATATGGTAAAAATTTGGTAACTGAATATGGCTCAGATGACTCGTATAAGAAATTGGGGGACCGTTAGAATTAAATTACAACTTCTGTGATTAAGTGGTAAAGTAACCAAACCCTGGATATGTAAATTCTAATTTATCTCATTAAAAGTTAAATGCCAAATGTACTTGGATGAGAAATTATGACAATACTTCGGCTAGGTAAAATTACGAAAATACCTTATGGGGTAAAATTATGAAAATACCCTTAAAGAGTAAAAAGTAATATGGATGACTATGATAATGGAGACGGCCTGAGAACTTATATCATGATCCATTAGAATCTTGGAATCATAAATTAGACTTCTGATTTATTTAGAATGCCCTTGAAGTATAATATGATTCCAGGCACGTCCAAGCCCTTGAATAACTAATACCTTCAAATCTGAAATGAACAAAACAACCTTGAATACCAAAATGACTATATTTTATGACCTAAGTACCCTTAATGACCTAGGGTTAAGTGAGTGACTTGGATAAGCTTGTAATCGCTAACGAACTTACATGATGAACAGTCCTTAAGATCCTTTCCGCGATGATTCTGAAGATGATTAATTTGACAAGAATTGTTGAAAACATTTTGATATTTTGATATAACAAATAAATATGTTAATTAATTTTTATAAATTTTAAGATTATATTCAATTCAACTATTCGAATATTAAAAAAAGTACTCAAAATTTTAAAATGTCAATTTTTACTCCTTACTTAAATAAAAATTGAGATTCACACTAAAATATTTTTTTAAATATTTTTTACTAAGTGTTTCGAACTTTAATCGAGTCAAAAACTCAATTTCAATATGGTAGTACAGATACTGTCTCAGCAGTATCGATATCATGCACTATAGTAGTATCGATACTTCCTGTGTAGTATCGATACTACTCTTTTGTTTTTTACTTTAAATTTTAATAGAATCTCAAAATGGTACCGAT